TATGAGTGTCCCTTTTTCCCAACATCGTTGTCAACATTTATTGTTGATAATTGCCATTCTGACTATGGTGAGATGAAATCTTAGAGTAGTTTTGATTTGCATATTTCTTTAATTGCTAAAGGTGTTGAACATTTTTTCCTATATTTGTTGATTAATTGTATTTCTTCTGTGAATTGTCTATTCAGTTCCTTAGCCCATTTATTGATTGGGGTATTTGTTTCTTGGTGTTAAGAGTCTTGAGTTCTTTATATATCCTGGAGATTATTACTCTATCTGAGGTATATGTGGCAAACATTGAGTAGTTTTTTAAATAGGGTTCACTATGGAAAACAAATAACTAGAGATTTCAAGCAGAAGATATTTAATATAGGGTATTAGTTGCTTTGAAATTATTGGAAAGACTATATAAAGCAGACTATAGGCTGAGTGGCTAGTAACCATAAATGCTATGCTTTATGGCAGCCTACATCTGGATTCATCCCAGAACTACAGAGAATGACTCCATTTTATTTACTTAGGAAAGAGAAAGCCATGAGGCCTCTTTCAAGAATGTACTGCTGTACTTGTGAACCAGAAATCAAGAAGCCATGATTAGGAAGGTGGTAACTGGACTGACCCTGAGACATGGAGTCCAACTTCCCTCTCTATCACGGCTGCTTCTGAATAACCACAAAGCTGAAGACTGAATATGAGAACATGGATGCAGAAACCCCAGCTATCCTCTCCCACCCAGCCATGCTTCCAAACAGGCCAGAGCAGCAGAAAGATGGCCTCCATCTTACAATTGCCTCCCAAATCTCAAGACACTGCATTTGTTTTGAAGGATGTCTTTTGCAATCAAACCCCATGTGCAAGGCAGCCTCTTACTTGACAGGGCAAATTTGAGTACTGATTCACCATTTCCAGCACAGTAAATGTTATGACCTTCACACGTGGGAGTGTCCTCTGTACAGCTAAGTATGTAATAGAAACTCCCATGAGGCTGAAGTAACAATTGTCTTCTATTAGGTCTTCACTAGTTAGTGTAATTAATTATATAACAGAACAATTTCCCCTATGGGGAATTCCTATTTATCAGAAAAATGCCATAAGGAGGGAAGACCCTGAGCTGACCTGGGAGTGTATTCTAAGCTGTTTTGGTTTCAAATATCTTGGAAAGTACTAGAGGGATATGTGGAATATTATAACAATGCTTCCCATGTCTGGGGGGAGTTCTGTAGTTAACTTTCCATCCCGTGTCTCCTCCCTACACTTCCCCTCCCTATCCTTTAATGCACATGTAGAATTTGCAATGGAAATGGATGTAAACTACTTTATTTAAAATATATTAAATGGAGATGTGACCAATGAGCCTGTATTGATTTTTTTTCTGACTTCTTTAACTCTTACATTACCCTTATTTAGAAATGTGAAATAATTGTTAGTAATCTCCTTCAGCTTTACCCTTTCATTCTAGTGGATAAATTTGGGCACGTTTTTTTTTTTTTTTTCCTCTTCCAAATTAAGAATCAGGTTAACTTATCGTTCTTTTACTTTGTAATAAAATAGATATTGTGAAGTTACCGGTACTATTCATTTGGGTGGGGACAGGGGAGCACAGAGGTGGTAGAGATGTAATTGAAGTATATAATCTGATTTTATCATCAAAGGTGACATTCCTTTCTTCAGGAGAACCTTGTTGCATAGGTGAGTTGATAACAGCTTCTGTTAGATTTCTGCCATATCTTGCTTTCTTTTGTTTCAGCACAATCTTTTTTTTTTTTTTAAATCCATTCTTTCCTCCTTACTGGGGGCACATTCTTCTACAGCAGGGAAGCCCCCAGAGCTTCCTCTGCTCTTTTGTGTTGTGTGCTCTGACCTCTGAGCAACTGCTGTCACAGATTCGAAGTCTGGAACCTTTGGGGGAGGGACTGACTCTTTAAGGATTCACTGGCACCAAGTGACCAGAACTTCATTACCAAGGTGTTGTAAATGGGTGACTATGGATGCTATCATCCAAACTGATGCACTTGTGGACAAGGGCATTGGTAATAATTATACCGAAGCAGCAGGGATAAATTGGATGTATGGTTACCCTAGTTATAAGGAACCATGGAAAGCAGTGATTGAAATGTTACTAAAATTATTCCCTTTACTCCTTACTCAGAAATGTGAAATAATTACCAGTAATCCCTTTCACCTTTATTCTTGCACCCTAATAGGTCCATTTGGACACTTCCCTTCCCCCCATTTTAACTTTGGAATTGCCAGAGTTTGTCTCCGTTTGAGATCTTTATAACTCTCACCAAATTATTAAGGTTACTTTCTTTTTTATATATAATCACTTGCTGAGCGCTGAGGATGGGTTAGACCCTGTATTAAGGGACAAAGGAAAATAAAGCTGAGAAAAAAATGTCATCTTTGTCCTTTGTTCACGATCAGTGCTGTGATATTATTTCAGGACACTGGGTTTTCTACCTGGCTCAAAGTCTAGGGGAATTCATCTTATGCTTCTCCCCCACTGAAGTGTAGTCTGCCAATGTAAAAAGATTTAAATGCCCAGATAATGAGTTTTATCAATTTGCTTATTTTATACTTGGGATATTGTTTTGGATTTGACATGAAGAAACTTTTTTTAGTCAAAGAAAACTTTGAAAGCTACTGGTTTGGGATTTAGAATGTTGTTATTGTTCTACAGCTAAAAGGATAGTGGGGAAATACAAATCGAAGAACCGAACTGATGAAACTTGAAACACAAAAGGACATAAATTAAATAGGAAACAAATAAATTGCCTTAAATATCTGAAGGATGATTGTGTATTGAGGTTGGTGATTGCTGAACACAAAGACAGGGCAGATAGGTGGACTCTGTGGGAAAACGGGTTTTGGCTATATTGAACTCTCCAGCAGTAATCACTTTCCTGCTATGAAAGGGGCTGCCTTAGGAGGGCTGCCTTATGTCCTTGACATTGGACTTGTGCAAGTGAACTCTCAGGTGGTGGGTGAACATCAGCCTGAACATCATATTATAAGAAATACCTTCAATAACAATTTCGCAACTCGATTTCAAGGATGTCAAATTTCTGTTTTGGTGAATGTTGAGTAACTAGCTTAAAAATTTCTAAAGTGTGTGCATATGTGCAAGTGTGTGTGTGTGTGTGTGTGTGTGTTTGTGTATTTCCTCCAGAATATTAGCTAATTGAAAATATACTTTATGCATTTTGGGTTTTTCTTTAATTGCATAGTGGCCAGTGGTTGATAAAAATGCAGAAGTCACAACACTATATTCTCATCAAGAGAAATTTAAAAGGGAATAGGCATTCTCTGGTATGATTCTGAAAGCGATCTGAAACAGCCTGGTTCATTTTTACTCATCTGCCATTGGTTAGTACCTCACCAAAGTTTGTCTCTGTTTCAAAATCTTGAAATAAAAGTGGAACAATTTCCAACATGATTTAAGAAAAAGGTCACCAGTTGAAAATGGTTCCTATTATTTTTTTTCTATTAAATGTGAAATTGCAAAAACAGCCTTTCTTACATAATTCAAATTTATAATACATTCAAATGAGAAATTTGTCTTTTTTCATACCATTTCAAACACTGAGAAATAATTTCTTTAGGCTTTTGGATTGGTGTTAAACAGTTATTATTTCAAAGCATATAATGCATGAATTTGATGGTCTTCATTTTCTAGAAATAACTTGTGGTTCTTGAAGGTTGAAAATTTGTATTTCCCTCTTCCTTGCTTTATTTTTCCATTATCTGAGCACTTAAAAATTTAGCTTAGCAATATTCTTATATTTTGACAATAGGATGAAGTTGATTTCACTTTTTAACAGGTGACAAATTTACTAGCACTTGCTAGTAATTAAAGGTGACAAGTAATTAGAGACACAGATTAAACTGGAAATTTTAATTTATAATAATATCTGAATTCAATAATATCAACTCAAATTATGATGTTCAAATTCAATGCAAAAGCTCTGAGATGATTTACACACAATGGTTGTGACACAGGTTATGAACAGCACAGTTGACAGGTGACAGTTTTGTGAGCACTATAATGTTCAAAAGGCTCATGTGTAGTGATTCAGGCCAAATCTTGTATCTGTGAACACTCTTAGTTGACTCCATGTAGTGGTATGGGCTGAATAAACATAGCATCACAGAAACACACATTATGGCCAGGAGTAAACTTGGCCTGAGATTTATCGGCAGTGGCTTCATCTTCACTGAAAAACAAATTGTTTCTACTTTTTCCAGTTACATGTAAGATAGAAAATTTTCTGCTATCCTCTTTATTTTTACTGTTATATCAAAGTGAATTTGCAATAAAGGAAAAATACAAACAAAATTATTAAAAAATTCAGAGTAATTAAAACATCCCTCAAGTGCTAGTAAACTTCCATGGTTTGTCTAATGGGCATAGCAGACATGTAAACAGATAACTAAAACAGTGTTTATGTGGTTAATACGAGTTTGAACAAGCTGTCAGGGGAACCAGACGAGTGAGCAGCAATTAACTTACAGACCTACCCACTTATTGGTAGGGTTAGGAAGAGAAGATTCCAGATAACCACTACGGCTTCCTCGGAGATTAGACTGTTGATTTTTCCCATCATCACTTTCTCATTCTTTTGGAGGGGCAAAACCTTTATGTGTTAGGCAGCCAGCATGTCATCTTTATAAATCCAGATTTCCACTTTCAGAAGTAGATTTACTGAGCTCAGAAGAGCTTATGCCATTGTTTGCCCCTCTCTCCTGGCCTTGTACAGAAAAGCAGTCTGTTGCTAGAATTAGAGAATTGAGAAACGTCCTTAAGAGTGATTTTTTTTTTTTTTTAAATTTAGTTGTAGATGGACACAATACCTTTATTTTTTTATTTTTATTTTTATTTTTTAATGTGGTGCTGGGGATCAAACCCAGTGCCTTACATGTGCTAGGTAAGTGCTTTACCACTGAGCCACAACCCCAGCCCAAGAGCTTTCCCTGCCTCCCCCCCCCCCCCCCATTCAGGGCACTCGAGAGAAGTCATACCATTACAGAACATAAATTATTGTCATGGGAGGAGATTTTGGAGATCATCTTGCTAATTGTTTATTAGAGCTGGGGAAATTGAGATCTAGAGAGAGTGAATGTTTTCTTGCTCACTTGGCCAGTAGAACAGTTGCCATAAGATATAAGGCTGGGGTCACCCATCTTCCATTCTGATTTTCAATGGCAAGGGTGCTGACTCTTTTGACAGATTCTTTACTCCTCTGTCCATTTCAATGCCTTTCATCTACTTCATCCTGTCCATCCAGCCACAAGGAGTGTTTTTACTTGCTTAGTAAAACTCACCCACTGCAAAAGCTACTGGTAGGCAGAAAAACTGAGTTTGAACGCAGTCTCTGATGTGTTTTCACTGCTCTGATACATTCGGTAAGCTTCTCTGCATGTTATTTTGAACATTGTGCTCAAAGTACAAGAAATGCATCAGTTCCTAAGGTTTCTCCTCACTGAGACTCTCAGTGACCTTTTACCTCCTCAATAACCTATCTGGGCGCTTGTCAACCATGTCTGTTTTTTTCCATGACTAATAGAAATTGTGGCAAACAAAAGGCCAGTTAGTGAGTATTCGTTCCACTCTCTCCTTAGCCTTCTCTGGAGAGTCCTGGTCTTCCAGTGCTATTGTTTCCCTGTCAGGGTTGATTGTTTCCTTCTGCAGTGACATTGTGAATCTGAAGTGAAAGTGCAGTGTAGGGGCATGTCTCCATTCCGTTGCACTTTTTTATCGAAGACAACTACTTGCCTGGATTGGTACTTCTCTTTGCTGCTTTTTGGTTCTTTAGGGATCATCCAATGTATTTGGTCTTTTCTTGTCACCCACAGTGTTGCCAGGAACAGGGAGTACACTGTTAGAATTCGTTTCTGTGGGTACAAACTATGCAAGACAGGCCAAATGTGTCAATTCCTGCTCTTTCCACACTCCTCTCCATTGATAAGAACCTTAACCTACTTAGTTTATGGATTTGTGGGGGAATTATGGAACACAGGAGTTGGAAGGAATGGTAGCAGGTATCTAATCTTTACAGATGGGGAAAGGCACTGAGATTCAAGCAGGTCAGGAAACTAAAGTCATTGAGCCCATTAGTGATTGAGCAAGAAATTACACCCAAGCCCTCTGTATCTAAGTCTAGTGCTCTTTCCAGTTTTCCGAGTGTCTCTCAGAGCCTATATAAAGGTTTGGCATTTCTGTAGAGTTGTTCTCTCGTTACCCCTTCTGAGCAATGCCAGCTGTCCATGCAGAGAGTGGGGCATTTAGCCAGTGTTGGGCCAAAGCTGTCTGTAAAGAGAAGTTGAGTGAATACATTGACATTTTCAGCCCATGGCAGGTCCTGCTTTGCCCTTCCGGCTCTATCTGACCCAGTGCTTCAGAGGAAGGGTGATTACATTTGCTGCTCAACTAACAATTGTGTGTAATTTTCAGCCTGCCTTATTCTTCAGCACTGTCTTCCCACGCTTCCATCACATGCCACAGCATATCTGCTTCGTAATTACACTGGTAGGGACTTACCTACGCCGTTTGGAAAAAGGTTTGCCTAAAGTGCTTATTTACTTGTGAATAATAAATCTTGATTGATACCTTGGTAATCTCTGAGATGCATCCAAGACTCCCTCCCACAGTGGGGAGGGTTGAAGAGTCAGGGAAACGGGTGACACAAAAAGAAAAAGAAAAAAGAGTCGTTCTTCCTCACTGATGAGCTAAAAGAATTATACATGATTAGAAATCTTCAGGCCGGACTTTTGCTTGATATTATTAGCTAGTTCTAAAGTCAGAATCTTTCATACAGTTGTAAAAGCTTGTGAGCAGGTTTGTCATTAGTGCTCATCTAATCTAATCACCACATTTCTAGAGAAGGATACATCACAACTCAGAGCAGGAGTTGCATTATATGCTCATGGCTGAGCTAAGACTGGAAGATGGGTCTGAATTCTGGAGCTGCTGCATCCTCCAGCCAATACCAGTAGGTAGAAAAGGATGTACCCCAGAGAAGAATGCACATCGTCCTATTTTAATATATGATTAAGAAAGCAGTTTTGAAAGTCCAGGAAGGTATTGACTTTTATATACAGAGAAAGTTAAAGAGAAACTTTCCAAGATTTAGAAAAGTGTTATTTAAAATATAACTACTGCTTGTTTAAATGAAGAAAATGTGGCTGAGGGACATGAATGTTAAATCTGCCCTCAGCTGCTCCTGTGTTTAAGTCACAGCTCCTCACCCTTCCAGTTCTTCTGCTGCCAAAGTGGTGGTGTTAATTTCAGCTTCTTCCCTCAATACCATTGTTCAGCCAGTACTGACCGAGAGCCAGGCCTTGAGTTAGTCACCAAGGAAGATCTAGAGACTAATGTATTTCATTTAGAGGTCAATATAAATGCTTTAAGTCAATCATTCTCAATCCTTGAATCAGAATGTATTCATAAAGAATCTGGGGATGTAGCTCAGTGGTAACAGTGCTTGCCTACCATGCACAAGGCCTTGGGTTCATTCCTTGGCACACAAATTAATAAATAATACATGTGTACAGATCTTATATGAGTTTAGTGTGCAGCTTTTAAAAATGACTGTTTGAAGCTTATAGGACTGATGTTACACCATATAATGGTTTGTGCTTTTTAAATTTTGGTGGCCTATATAAATGCTTATAGAGTAGAATATTGACTTGGGAGGGAAAAGAGAAAAAACAATATGACCAAACACTAGTTAGTTCTGCTTTTGTGAATGACAGATAGCAAGCTTGCATCATATGACACCTTTAGAGAGGCATAATGGCTTTGCTAGTATTAACTGTCATTTTACCTGTGGCCCTAAGTTTTCCTGCCCTTAGAGAAGGGCTTGGTCATCCTATGGCATTTTTTAGTCATTCTCATTCTGTGGTGCCTTGATGAATTGGGTCTGTTGACTATTGGCTTTATCAGTTTGTTAAAGTGTGGCTCACTGTGGTTAGGTTTGAGGAAACAGAACAGGGAACACATCACAGCTAGTAGAATCCAAGCGGTAGGAGTGGAGATAATAAAGCAAATCTGCTGCTGCTAGAGACCGTGGATTTGGGGTAGAAAAATCTGTGTTTAAATGTTAGTTGCAATTTATTAATTGTTTCCTTGAACAAGTCATTTAACCACTTACAGCCTTCCAACCTTACTTTGCATGTATGTGTGTGCGTGTGTGTGTGTGTACGTGTGCCCACGTGTGCCCATGCACATGCATGTGGTACTGGGGATTAAACCCAAGGCCTTCTGTATACTAGGCAAGCATTACTACTTAGCAACATCCTCAGCCCCCAGCTTTGCTTTCTTGCCTTGCTAAATGTGGATAATCATAATGCTACCTCATATGGTGGTGGGATGACTGAGTGGCCAATAGACGATCACTTCACAGAAAGCAAATCTTAAATGCATAGTTGCTGTTTGTTGTCAATGTGTGGCTTTTGTGTGCCTCCTAGATAATTAGAAGGCCATGACAGAGGAGCAACAGAGAAAAGGTAATAAGCAAAAATTATTAATTGCCTTTCATTAGCACATTACCTGGAAAATTGGTGCTCAGGGTGCCACGGCTCTGAGCCTCCCTTCACAGTAGGCATCTTGATTGGAGGAGGGCCATTGCTCTTGTTTTCCTCTCTTTTGATGGGGTTGTATATATTTAGATCCTCTATGGGGATCTTCCCTTTCACTTCTTGCTTTCGTGATGATTATAAGCCTAGAGTGAAACCCATCTAGAACCAGAGGAAGTAAGAGCAGGGTAAGTTTTGGTCTATCAAAACCAGCTCTTACCTCTGTTGTGTTTACCTTGGGTCTCTCTGAGTTGCCGAGTAGCCCCAATTGACTTGCTTGTTCATCCATTCGTTAAACTTTTCAGGTTTCTCTAAATCCATTTATCAAATGGAAGGGCCATATAAAGACTTCAGAGAAGAAAAATACTGTAGAATATCAGTTGTTTGGAACTTTACAGATGACTAATTTGCTCATGAGTGTCTTCCCTTATTAAACATCACTCTGGAATAGCTGAGACTAGAACTGGGGCCAGAGGAACTCTGCATCTATATGACTGTATTTATTAACTTCCGTGGGTCCATCCCACATGGACTGATTTTTTTTTTACATGTTGTTTTCACTCTCATTAGATTCCTGTTCAAAGTTAAAAGTTCTAGCTGCATATGTCTTTACATGAGACCTTTAAAACGAAAACTCATTTTCTCTTTCAGACTATTCCCTAACTATTCTTTCCCTATCTTCTTCTTTTCAGGACAGCTGATCTGTCCCTGACCCTCAGACATGCCTTGCTTTGTTCCTGTATCGTTATTGCCAGTCATTGTTCTTGTTGCTCCAGTTACCTTTCAGATCCTCAGTTTTAGAAGTTCTGGCTAAGGACTACCTCGGCCATGCCTGTGCTAGCTCCTGTAACAAACACCAGCATTTCCCTTATGTTTTCTATGTTACTCTCTTTCTCATTCATTATACACATACAAATATATCTTCCTCAGACAGACGTTAAGTTACTCAAAAGTAAAGGGTAAAATTCTGATTCATTTGGAGGTCCACTGATAAACATATAAACTCATTCCTTTCGCAAATTAGTAGATTATTTTTATTGAGTACCTATCATGTACTAGACTCTAGGATTGCAAACAACAATCACGTTTTGCTGTCAAGGATTCGAGAATTCACTTGGGGATGCAGGCACACAATCAGGCAGAGTACTATATGATGAATGTGTAACAGAAGGGTGCCAGGCACTGTCCACCTGTAGAAACATGGCACACATATGAAATGAAGGACACAGTGGGTGGCTTATGTCTTTAAGGACATGAAGGAAGTAATTCTTTGCAGCTAAGTGATGTGTAGTCAAGGAGAAATCATTTTTAACTAAGAGGTAGCTTGTTTCAGGAAATGGATGAATTTCCTGAAAACTAAGACTGAAAAATCACCTTAGAAGAAGTAAAAGACTGCTGCTATTGTAGAAGTTATTAGAAATATGATTATTATTTGTTACTAAAAAGATGTCATATTCTCATATTTAAATGACTGTACTCTGAATCTTGATGAACCTTTAAAGATCAGATAATTCCAAGGTCATTATTATCCTATTCCATTGTCTAGAATAGTTTATCAAACCCCCATATCAAAACCTAATAAAAAGTAAAATGAACAGAGATAAAATACTACAAAATGATCTTCTTATAAGTATATGTACAACAATTCTAAACACATAGTTATTTCATCAGTGTTTCAAAACACCAAAAATGTGACTTTGAAGGATTTATTCTAGGAATGCAAAGATGGTTCAATATCTGGAAATCTATCCACATGGTCCATTACACCACCAAATCCAGAAATACGGAAATGAGATGATTGTTTCCCCTATGGCAGAGAGCTAGAAATTCTAGACAGGTATATGTGACTGAGGGATAACTGTATTCATTCGTTCAGTCTCTTCTGCATAAGATATTCTTATAATGGCTTGTTGGCCAGGCATTGTGCTGATATAGTGCGACTATGCAAGAGTTTCTAGCTAATTGGGGAAGATAGGCTAGTAAATAAATTGCTTCCTTGTGGACTGTTATAAGTTAAAACAAACAAACAAACAAACAAAACCCCCAAAGTACTAGAAGAGCACAGAAAAGGGATTAAGCTATTCCTATTGGGGCAAGTTAGGGAAATAATCAGAGTCAGAGATATTTGAACTGGAGCAAAGTAAAGAGAGGGGGACGGCATTGCTAATATTCTGCTTAAGGGCTGGAACAAGTGTTCAGAGTCATGAATGTTTATTACAACATTTGGGACTCGTGTCTCTGGCTCACTGTTGATGTGGAGGAGAATGGCAAGAGAAGATGCTGTAAAGGGCATCTGCAAACATCTGAAGCAGAGGTGGAGCCTAAATTGCCTCCTTACAGAAGGCAGTGCCAGTGTAATTCTTGGTGCTGGGCTAATCGAAGCAGCTATGGAAGTAATCATTTGCATACTGATTCTTAAGGTTTATCTTCTTTTTAAAAATATATTCTCCTGGAAGCTGCTGTTTCTTTCTGTCTATAGTATATCTGGAAAGGCCAGTGTGACACATTCAATAAGTAACATAGGATTGCTCTGGATATGTGCATCTTTGTTTTAAAGAGAAGTTATAAGTATGATATTAACCTATTTTTAAAAGCATACAATTAAAATATATACTATAGATTTACACGGTGCATTAACACTTGAACATTTTTTGATCCCATTTACTCTTCACTTATATTCCCATTAGAGATGTTGCAAGCAAAATAGTTAGTTTTGTCCCCATTTGGTAGAAGACTGAGACTTGGTTAAAAACAACAACAACAAAAAACCCTGGTATTCCTTGGGGTGGGGGATATACAGTGGTAGAGCACTTGCCTAGCATGTACAAGGCCCTGAGCTCAATCCCTAATGCATGCATAAGCATGCATGCGCATACACACACACACACACAGTTTCTCAACCTTGACACATGGGCTTGATTTGGTACTTAATTTTGCTTTGCTAAAATGATTCCAAATGTGCAGATTTATAGAGTATAACTGACATTTATTGGTCGTTTCTCTATATTGGTTTTGTATTACACCTTAGTGGTGGTTTAGTAATTGTATAAAATATATGGTTCCTGCCTTTCAAGGAACTTGCAGTTTTTTAAGTGTGCATATATACATGCACATAAAGAAGTATAGAAAAAGAAAAGAAAGGCTCTGTACCAGAGGGAAAGACCAGTGTGGTCACTGGCTTCAATGACACGTGTCATGATTCCCAGTCAGAGTATTCCTTATTGGATCATGTTATCCTACTCTTCTGGCAAAATTCTACCTCCAGGTGTTTTCCTCCTGGTAAGATGGTCATATAATTTTCAGTGACCTTCTATGGGAACAGAAGCATTCCTTCCCCCCATTTTGAATAGCAGTTAACAGCATACAACACTTTAGTATTGTTTCACTGGTTGACAGAGAAGATCTTTTAAATCTTAGTTTTTCAGTAATGGAGGTGCCTTGGAGAGGGTTCAGAGTCATGTCGGTCATCCTCTGTGTGCACTGATGTCAATTCTAGGGCTTCACTGTGTCCCACCTCTCCTCCTCTACCCTATTTCTCTACTGTTATGTCATGTGCTGAGGCCTTTTTATCTTCCTGCATTTTCTTTGCTCTTTCTCTTTATAGACATCTGGAGGTAATCATGTAGTCCTCTTAATTAATTCAGTTCAATTAATAAATTACTAGGTGGGTTAGGGCTGGGAGTGGGTACATGTTACCTTCCGGGCCTCCCATGCTAGAGAGCTCTTGTAATCAGCCTTGGAGAGCCCTCCTTGGCAGGCTGCATGGAGGAGTGGTTGGCTTATCCTGGCAGAGGAGACTTGGCTTTCCCTTTTTCATAAAGTGTATATAATATGATCAGAGCAACATCCAGGCTGGGCTGGTTGTTCCCCACGTAAAGTTAGGTTTTTTTTCCTTAATTTCCAACATAGTGTCTGCTCAGCGTAGCTCTTAATGGACATCTCTTTGTTGTTCAGGGCTGACCTATGCATTACAGATGGGTAATATTTGTTTGCTACTAAATGCCAGTAATTGTTCCAGGCATTGTGGCAACCAGTGTCTCCTGCCTCGTCATCTCCAAGTAGTTCTTGGTAGGAAGCAGAACTGCTCTTTGAGGGGACTTAAAGGGTTCTGTCAGACATCTGTCATGCCCCTCTTCCCAAAATAAGCTTTTATTGTTTCCTTAATGCCTGAAGGATAAACGTAATCTCTTCTCACTTTAGTTCTATCATATGTTTTGGTTCTGCTAGTTACTTTCTTTTCTTTCCCCTCCAGTCACATGAAACCAAGTGCTGGTATTTTTCTGCCTGTGTGACTTTCCTGCCATTGTTCAGGCTCAGCCTCTGGTCAGCATTCAGGGCCCAGCTGGGTGGCTGTCCTCCGTGCTGTCCTCCGTGAGGTCTTGCTGGCTGTGCTCCAGGCGAGAAGGATCTTATCTTTTTCTGCCTCCCAGCCACACATTTTAAAACCACACTTAGGTAACATTGCCTCATTTAGGTATCACAATTTAATTGGTATAATAATTGTTTTAATAGATTATTTATAAAATTTGAAACTTTCCCCCCAATTTCCTACAAAGAAACTTCTTCATGTTAGGAACCATTTTTTTTTTTTTCATATCTACTTTTCCAAGAGTATGGGCTACTGAAATAAATAATTACTGGAGAGGAGATATTCAAGCATGAGGGACTGTCGTCTTCTTGTTCTCCTTTTCTCCCAACCTTTCTCCCCCTTCTACTCTCCTTCTCTTTCTGATGATATCTCTTCCTCCCATGTTTTTCCTTTTTTTCCATATTCCTTCACCTTTCTTATTTCTTTCTTAATTTTTTTCCAGAGAGCTTTATTTAAAGTCCTTAGGCATGGATTAAGATGAAATAACCGTGAAGTGAGGTATGCCACCTTCACTTTCATGCTTCTTAAAAACTGTGTTTCTTTTTTATTACAGATTCCAATAATGTCTCATCCATCTTGGCTGCCACCCAAAAGCACTGGTGAGCCCCTTGGCCATGTGCCTGCACGGATGGAGACCACCCATTCTTTTGGGACCCCCAGTATTTCAGTGTCTACACAACAGCCACCCAAGAAGTTTGCACCGGTAGTGGCTCCAAAACCCAAGTACAACCCATACAAGCAACCTGGAGGTGAGGGTAAGTGCTGGCATTTCAGATTTCAGTGTCCACCATGG